TAGCAACATCGACGACCTCGTGCTGGGCAGGCGTCAAGTCCTCCAGCAGGATGGTGTACACGCAGTCGTGCTTGGGACAGACCCACATCTGACTCTGGGCGACGTAATAATCAGACGGCCTGCGAGTGAAACGCCCGCAAACCCTAGCAATGGTCTGGTCGACGATCGAAGCTGTCTTCGGGACACGCACTGCACGCGGGATGTGCGCGTCGAGGTTCACGAAGGGATGGTTAACAGGCGCCTCGACGAGTATACGCGGGGGCGTAGCGTTACTCTTGTAGCGCGACATACCCTCGGGAGGAGCCAGGGGATTAGGCTCCCGCGCGATATGGCGTAGGACGAGGTTTCCCTGTGTTTATCGGTGAGATAATGTTCTCGTGTGTTACCAGACACGGATAAGACTGACCACCTTCGCCCAGGTATAGCGGTCGTCGGCGGCGAGGGTCGGAGCAGCAGGAGCCGGAGCGTCCATATCGACGACGTCTGGTTCAGCCATGAGCGTCGGGAGGGAAGGAGAGACAGGCGTAAAACTGACTCGACGCATTCGGATGAGACCGAATCCGAATCTCGGCCGTGGCTTATGTGTTAGGCATCACGCCGTTATACTTAGGATGCAATGTCATGTTCAGTCGCGTTTCTCTACTACAGGTCAACATAAATACTGTGTATTGTACGATGACATCAATGGCCTAGGTATTCACTCGCCCATTCCTCTTTGCGTGTCTCCCACTCGCGCCGAACAGCGCGATGGGCATCGCGCGATTCCTGCCATCGGATGCGCTCAGGGTCCTCCTGCTCCGCATCCATAAGAGCCACCACAGCAAGCCCCGTATCGACAATGCTACGACCCGCCTCGAACATCTGGCGGACCAACGCCTCCCGCGCGGACACGGCCTCCCGCCGCCAACGCGTCAAGTGATAGCGAGCCGCGTGAAGACCCTGCTTCGCTACGCGCAACATCTTCTTCGCCTTCCACATACGAAGTTGATACTGACCTGTGCGCTCGAGAGCCTCTATCTCCAACCGCAGAGGCCTGTACACCTGACGATGACGGAGGCGGTTTTCATCCCACCACATAGCAGGCTTAGACTGAGATGCGCGTCAGTGCAAGTGAGAGCTTGTGAGATCGCGGACTCACATTGTACGCGGTGACGGGACTGGGGAACCAGAACACAATGCATTCCTGGCGTAGATGCGACGCGAAATGATCCCATGCTAGGCAATCGACCAGTCGCATATACTGCCAGGGGTTTACGCGGTCCAGCTCCACGCGACCGTCGTCCCGCTCGACAACACCGCAGTCATCTCCTACGCCCAGGTATTCGCCGATAAGCGCCCTTTCATCGACGTTTAGATCGAGAGGATCAATGCTCCTCCCGCACTGCGGGCAGACCCATACCCCCATCTCCGGAAGGCCATCAGAGGGACGGGCGCATACGTCCGCCACCGTCGGGAGTGCGGATCGTACAGCGGCTTCAATGCGCTCGTCGGGAAAGGACTGTGGGCGGTCAAGGATATATCCCGGGATGTGGGCGTCGGGCGAATTCATAGACAGCGAGGATGGAGGGCTTTGTGGGAGGTACGGGCTCGATGCGCTAGTATAGTCCGTCCAGTCGGCGGAGTGCTGATCCAGCGCGGCCAAGATGTAGTGCGACATCTACGACATGTCAGCCCAATACACGCAGAATATATCCTTTCGCGACGTACCGCAAAGTTTCGATAGTTGACAGACTCCGTGGCGTGCCCGTCGATGGCACCATTGAGTGGGGAAGAGACGGGCAGTCCCCGCAGCACCCGTACGAAATCCTCGGGCGCGTATCCAGGCAGGGATTGGGCGGCGGGCGGCATGACCAGAGTGCGCGATCGATACCGTTTGGCACGAAGAAGATCAGGGTACATAATACGGAGACAGCGATGCCTTATATCGTGAGGTCGAGCGGCTCAGGCGGCACAGTTGCTTCCGCGAGCTAAACAGAGGTGTGCGCGTGCGGCTGTTCATGATGAGCGTTAATGCCAACGCGCGTGGGAGTACCGCGTCTGGTACAAAATCCCCAGCGTTCAGGTCACCACAGTCTCACTCGTACCGCCAACTACCCGTTATGCGCTATGAACAGGTCTTATGCAGCTACGCGTTTGTGTGCCCAACCCTGCTAGCGAGTTAGACCTTGCTGCGCGTGCGCCACATTTGGGGCACACCCGCCACCGGATCTGGGCCTGCGTGTGCCTCGCGTTCTGCATATCGACCCGAGTTGTCGGCCGTGCTTTCCGCGCTGGCGCTACATTGCTTACTTGTGCTAGTCATCGTGCACCCACACGGTGTGCTCATGGTAATTCCAAAATATGATATAGCGCAGCATCGTGCTGCACTATACCTACGCCCACTTGCTGAGATCCCGTCTCGCAAGCTACGCGCCGGTGCCCGCCCGATTCGGAGGGCCTTACGTTCCGATAGACAATGCCTTTGTACCTGATCGACTCGTTCCACTCGATTCCACTCGTCGTTCTTGACCAGGTACCGCATACGCTATCGTATCGCGAGCCCCCATCTCATCCAGAACCACCGCCTACGCCAGGAACTCCCGAACAATGGCTGATTTGAATAACGTAGATCTCGCCATAGACGATTGGGAGGCGGATGCCGATGCTGCTAGTGATATCGCGACGGATGATAGCGATCATGGTGCAGCTGCTGAAGCGGGGTGTGATACTTACATGCAATACTCATCTACTGTGAGATTCTTATGTGTCGGCGCGACAGGTACCAGTATTGGGATACAGATTCTGCTCGCTCGGATCGGTTAACTTGGGGATCGCCTCCAATCGACCCAGACGTATCCGCTCGCGCTGGAGCTCCCTACGAAGACGAGGATTTTGGGTGGCGTCCCAGATACTCAGGATGGCTGGGTAATCTTGTTCATAGTGCTCATCTGTATCTTGCTCACGGAAGGTCACCAGAAGTAAAAGAGGACGAGAATCCCTGGGATCCCTGGGAAGAGTGTACGTGCACGGTCATACGTGCCCTCCCGATCCTTAACATTTATTAGACGCGGACGGAGAAAACGCTACGCAGGTGCCGGAGTCATCTGCGACAGAACAGGACTTGGAGCCTGAAGGTATATACTGATGTCGGTTGGCTCGAGACTCTTTCTCACGCGCTCGAAAGATACGTCGTACGCTACGCAGATGCCGGAGCCATCTGCGACAGAGCAGGAGTTGGAGCCGAAAGGTATATACTGTTGTCGGTTGGCCTGAAACTCTTCCTCACGCGCTCGAAAGATACGTTGATTGATACGGCGCAAACCATCGCCTCTCCAGCACCATCTGAAGGTACCTAGCTGGCTTTGTGTTTGAATTGGTGAGCTAACAAACCCGCGCATACAAGGCGTGAACGGCTCGGGAAACCGCCTACCTGCTGACAACCTCGACGTCTTCGCGTATATCCTGGGCTGGTTGGTCCCTCGCATCAGCGAAACTCCTGTAGACGGATACTTTCGTCCAGGAGGACCAGGCCACGATGCTCTGATGTCTATCAAGTCCGTGACGCACTCGTGTCGGTTGTGGCGTAATACCACAATGCAGTTGAAGGCGACTGTCTGGGGACCTCTGGTGGCTGCCGCTCGCGACGAAACCAGTTGGCAGAGTGCGCTCGAGAAGGCTGGTGAGGCAAATATCCGTGTCGTTTACTGCACGGGTGTGCCCCATGAGCTATGTGATGCCGAGCTTCATCGTGCTTCAGCCGTCTACGCGGGCAGGGATTTGGAGTGGCGTAACTTCGGGCCTCTTCTGACAGACGCAGACCTGAAGAACTTGGAAGTTCTTTACCTTTGTCCCAACAGGCGGCTCATGCCTAAGTCGAGTTTACGCATGTACGGCCCACTTGAAGCGCCAGCTCTGCGTATCTGCGTCACCGCCACGCCGTTCCTCCTTCGCGCTCCGAAATTGCGGTATCTCGGTCTTCAACACCAGTCACGCACTCAAGTGCTCACAGTACTTTCCGGATTGAAAGACATCCCTCTGTTCTGGCTCGCTATCGACAGGCCGCGAGAGCCCGGCGTAATCGACGCTTCTGAGATTGTGCGGGCCGTTACGACCGAGCACCTCAGGTTCTTACGCATCGGCGCATCGACGCGTCAGTTCGCCATCCTGGACACTAGCGTCGAACCCACTTCTTGTCCATCGCTCGAGATCGCGGATGTCTGCGGCCCGTCTTGGCTGGCAGCACCACGCCTGGATATTGCACAGGTGTTCGGAGCACATCCAGGCGAGGTACTTTCCATGCTCAGCCGAGCTAGGAATGTACGGGTTCTGCGTACCAAATGGCGCAACCCCTGGAGTCCCGAGTTCACACCGGCACTCGATGTGCCATTCGACGGATTGTCCCCTTTGGCGTTGCCGCGCCTCGAGAAGCTGGAGATCGTTGGAATCATGGCCAGAGAGACGCAGCAGTTTCTCGCAGGGCTGTCGGCGCCAAATCTGGCGGAGATGCAGATGTTCTGCGACATGCCGCCACAGCCTGTACACCAGGTCCTGGTTACATCACGAGGGGCCCTCCACGCCGAACTTCAGAGCATAGACAATGCGCTGAGCGGGCGAGATGACCTGGCGCAGCTACTCATCAGCACGAGAAACAATCTGCGGGCTGCTGGACAGGATGGAGTCGCCCAGATCATGACGAGAACGCCCAACTTCCCTCAAGCTTGGACGCCCGCAGAGTGGCCGAACGTTGCGGAGCTACGTGCCATGACGAGGGACTTTCTAGACAGTCTGGCGGTCGCCATAGAATCTCCCCCCGCTCCCCACAACGGTCATCTACTGCGAGAGGTTGTCCAAGCTGCTATGCTTGCAGCGGCTTTGTCGGCAGACGATGCTGCAGTGATGAAGATCAAGTCTAATCGGGACGCAGCGGAGTTCCTGGTGTCATATCGCGATGGCGCCTGCACGATGACATTTGCCATGGTAGGCTCGCGGACCAACCAGTGGGCCACGTCCTGGGAGACTCGGGGCGACTCGATGCTGTATGGTGTTGCCCGTATGCTATTCGGTCTTTCCGTCGCACAGACGAGGGAGCTGCACGTCGTCGGCGAACCGTTTGCGAGCTTGTGGCCACCAAACGGGCCAGACGTCGACGCACTGCTGCAGTCACTACGAGAGTATGCCATGGTTCACACACTTTGTGTGGACTACGCGTATTCTTACATGACTGCGAACCCATGCCAGTTCCTGCGAGTGATCCGCGACGCCACGGTGCTCCCGTCTCTGCGTTCGGCAGTGGTGCGGTGTGCCCCGAAATGGTCGGATCGCACTCGAATACCTCAGGTAGACGCTCGGGTTGCAGCAGTCATGACAGCGCTGAAGGAAGTGCTTGAGAGTCGCATGGCTGAGGGAGGACCGCTGATGGCGCTGGAGCTGGAGGGGGCTTGCTGCATTCCTGCAGCTGACGTGAAGACGTTGAAGGGTTTGGTGAACTCCGTGATTCTATCGACGGTTTGTATCCGGGCAGAGAACAGACAGTTGTGCTCCGTATGTAACGAGGCGAATGAATGTACGTAGTCGGGTTCTACAAGTGCATGCGGGGTTAGCAAGTTTAATAGACAGTGAGCGCTTAGCGCTTAGACGTGGGACTCCATCAACGTGCTACACGAGGCTCTTTGATGACACGTTGAGAAGCGAATCGTTGAGAATAGCACTTGTCTTCAGACGCCACTACACAATGCACAAGGCTGAACGTGCTTGCTTAGAACCGCCCGTTCGGTATGCCTGACATGTTATTCGCCCTTTGTCGGCTTCTTCGCCTGTCCTGCGAATTCTCCTTCAGAGCCACCACAAGCTGAGTTAGTCGCGAACGCTGTCCTCACACGGACGGAAAACCAGTCCGCCAGTAAACAGCTTCAGCACTCGGCTTCAACGGCCAGACCGCGGACTGAGCTGTGGCAACGCGCTTGGATCTGAGCTGTGGCGACGCATTTGACCCGACACGGCCAGCCCTCTTTTTGGTTCCGTTCGGATGCCTTGGACCTGGCTTGTCTGGACGTTCTGGGCGAAGCAATACTTCTACCTCGCGCAATGCCTACACGGCTCATTGGTCTGGTATACATCCCATTGATCTGCGCATGTGTGCATGATATCAGCGAAAGGGAGAGCTATGGATTTGCGCGGATGGCGAGGCGGCGGAGCGATCGAGTGAGTTAGGAACACGATTGCATGCGCTGTAACTCATGCGGGTCGAGCCCTACCCTATCTAACAGATGATCCCATTTGCACCAGCCGTCCCGAGTGTCGGAATGCTCATATGCCGTGTCGTCTTTTTGCCTGGAGCGCGCGTCCCGATTTCGACCCCCACCTCCCTCGCCGTATTCTGCGCCCATTCTAGCTTAAACTATGGCTCCTTCTGCTGCTACCGAGGCCAAGCAGGGAAAGGCACTCAGCGGAAAACGCACGACGTTCCTTAAACAGTATTACAGCATAGTGGGCGAATCCGGCGTTCAAAATCAGACGGTGAATGGCGACCGTTCGGACGCGTATCACAATATCGCGCGTGCTTTGGTGCTATGCTTTGGCGTCGACGATCCTCTCAGCAACGACGACCCCGATCTGGATTACTGGGATCTACCTTACGCCTCTATACCTGCAGCAAACGCTATGCCCGCCCTCGACGAGGAGCAGTCCAAGAAGCGCGACATTGTCATCGAAGGTTTAGTTCAGGTGCGTGGTGTCGTAACTTGTCGAGCATCGGACGACGACTCATTGTTGGATAGCGGGTTCGTAATTATTACAAGGGCCTGCGTCACAAGGCGAAGACTACTGGCGGCAAGGCTAGTCTCGACATGAAGCATATCGAACGCATCACCGCCGCTTTCGCCAATCCTCCCAAGATGCCGAAGGCTCTCGACGTCTACCAGTCGGACTTCAAGTCCCACTATCTTCCCAGTTTCGATAGGATGTGGCGGGCGAAGGAGAGCGAAGCTGCGGGTGACGCTGCTCAACTCGAGCGGCTCAAGAACACTAGGGGTGGACAGGAGAGGATTCACGCAAAGATGCGGTGGGAGCAGGAGGGCGCAGAAGTTCGGCAGAAGGTACACGCTGCGCGCGAGAGGAAATTCAAGGCGGCGCTGGGCAAGTACAACGAGCTCTGGGGAGCGCCAGAATCTGCGTTAAAGAACTCCCGTGCATGGTTAGTACCTACCCAATCCCTTATGCCATGGAGGCGAAGCTGAGTAGCCGCACGCAGGGTTATGCCGGAGGCGGGCGCGTTTCTGCGCGTGTTCTTGGAATGGATGGCGTCTCGCTTCGGGGTCGCTTTGGCGCTCACGATCGCGGGAACGGGTGACAAAGGCGAACCCGATGCTCGCACGTAAGTGAATACATTGTGCCCGTCTTCCTGCAAGCGCTGACGGTTACCTTTCTCCCAGCATTTTTGCAGCCGGTGACACGAAGGGAGGTTCTCCGACTCTGGACGAGTATGCGGCGGACGCTACGGAGGACACGAAAGTCAGGCTCATGCAATACGTGTCGAAAATGATGACTGGCTTGGTTGCGACTGGACCGTCGGCGAACGTGTCAGAGAACGAGACAGAGGAGCCCGAGGAGGGCGGGGGCCAGACGGTAGACGCGGATGCGGCGCACGCCCTTCAATTCAAGGAGGTCAGTCCGCAACCTGGGAGTGGCGCATTCACGCTCGCATTCACGCTTACGCCGCCTACAGGAATTAGTGACTGAACCAATGACCCTCGTTGACGAATCGGGCGCTTCAAAGTGGGCAATTGATGATACGGTACGTGTTATAATGATCACGGAGGACGCGCGTTTAAATCATTTCTTAGCTCTTATTCGGTCCTGAGGGTCCATATGGACGCTCGGCGGACCGTGATCCGATGCACGTGGATGACGTCCGGAGCGCCGGCGCGACCAGGGCGGACGTACGCGTTCGTGGCTACGACGGCACTGACGGTTCTGCGGAGGTGTCCGAGACAGGGCGTGTAGCCAAGGGCAAAGAAAAGGCGGTAGACATGACGGTAACGGATGATAGTGACGAGGACTTCGGCGGCGAGCTTCAGGCGCTGGACAGTGACGTCGAGGAATTGCAGGACGCCGTGGTGGATCAGGAGATGGCAAGACTGCGGGACGCATTTAGTAACAACGACGTGGGTCTCAATACGGCGATGGCGACGGCCAGCAACTACATCCAGAAGGTATCAAACACGCGGGCGTCTTCACCGGCTACGTCGGCTTCCGTGCGATCTGACTATGACGACGGCGCCCGGTCATTGGCGTCTGGTATCGACGACGAGGACCTTCCAACCTATGATCCGTATTCCATGGTCGACGAAGACAACGACGAAGCGGACATCGACGCGTTCCTCACCGCCACGTACGTGGATCGCCGGAAGAAGAAGAAGAGGGAAAGTTCGCCTCGGACGATTTTGTTGGGCGGAGTCTCCCGCACGCACAGTGGGCAGAGCCGTAAGAGGGAGCCCAAGCTTCCGGTGGAAGGCGCGGAGGGAAGAAAGGATAGTGAGAAGAGCGACGAGGACGGCGCGACTGGGTCGGGCGAGAAGGGAAAGAAGAAGGCTCGCACGGCGCGGATGCCAGCGCCGACCAAAGCTTCAAGAGTGGTCTCGATTGCCAAAAGGGCGGCGGTACCATCCATCTCCGATGCTCAATCCGTTCCCGACGCCGAGGGCGCTCAACGGCAAGCGCGGGCTGATACGGCGAACGCAGAGGCATCGTCTGCGCCGAAAACTAAGCCCAAGCCTCGCATGAAGAGGAGGCTGCGGGTCACATCTCCTGAGCTCGTAGACGACGAGCTCGACGCACCGCAGACAACAGTCGCGGAAGGAGATGGGTTAGTGGTAGAGGGTGCCGGCATGACGGAAGCGGGCAGTTTGGCCGCGCGAGGCTTGCTGGATAACAGAGCGGCGGATTTGAACGCAGCAAGGGTTGAGGTAAGCCAAGCTCGCAAAGATCATATAGATTCGGCGTTTGCCTGACCTACGCATGTGTAGGAATGGATCAAGAAGCATACGGATTCGCAGGCGAAGGGGGAGGGCGCGCTGGCGTGGAAGACGTACATCGGGACGAACGGCCCTGCTTCGAAGCGTCGCGCACTCTGCGAGCTGGTCAGGCTCGTCCCGTCGTCTCTCCACGGGTCCTATACAAACATGGTGGACGCGATGGAAGGCCTACTGCGTACGGACGAACTCTGGGTGAGCATTAATATCGTAGTACGCTGATCGCTGTTGTACTAAACGGTGACGTAGGACGGCGGGAAAGGGGGCCATTTGGACAAGACGAAACGTCCGAAGGAGGTCACTACAATGATCAGCGGGCGCGGCACCATGCTTGGTACAGCAGTACCCCACGGCTGGGGTGCGCAGATGGCTGCCTGGTGGATCTCGCTGCAACCGAGCGAGCGTGGATATGCCTCGGAGATCAGGGAGTTGTCTGCGCCCACGGCGGACATGGTTTGGGACGCGGTCGGCGAGTGTAAGGGATACAAGGGGCCATTCTTGCTCGTCTGGTGTATGATGCATTGGGCGAAGACGCAGAATGATCTTGAATTGTGGCGGGACGTCGCTGAGGATATGACGCGCGTCTTCAGGCTTATCCAGGCTTCCAGGGTACCCGGCGACGCCCGGTCTCCGACTCACAACGTGCCACGGGGCAATGGGGCGAAGAGGCCGGGCGCTGGTAGCGTCGGAGAAGAGGGGCGTCCGAAGAAGCTGCGAAGGGATGAAGGTGCAACCGGTAAGCTTCCAGGTCCCGTCCGTCTACGTATATCGCAGCACTGACTTAGAAGCAACACAGGGGCGCGCTAAATTGGGTCAAGAGAGCGTGGCCAGAGCAGGCGAGGCGTTTCTAGCCGTTCAAGCTGCAAAAAGGGCATATGATATGTTTTGTAGTAAAATAGTATGATACTGAACACAATAAAGCACTGGGGTATCTACGCAGAGTCAGGAACGTCGTCCGGATCGACGATGCGCTCGGGAAGTTTGGCTGCGTCGAGTCAGTACTTATGAAACGACGTTGGTATTATCGGACTTACCGGCGTCCTGATACGCATACTCGTAGAGGGCCTCTATGGACGGATGAAACTTGTGAACACGGGTTCGAGATATAACTATGGCGGGTATGGTCCGGGGTATGGCCAAATCGCGGACGTAGAATTTCGACCACATTTCGAAACCCGGAGCGCCGAACGTGAGGATATCAATCGTATCCGATTGTTTCAGTTCGTGGTCGAGGAGCTGGCGCTCGTGATGGCGCATCAAGAACTGGTTGATAGATGCACGAGCGCGAAGTTCGATGATCTTGGGCATGGTTTTGTCCTGGCGTGCTCGTTAGAATGCTGGGTACGTGCAAGAACTCGAGAATTACATACCTCAAAGAAGTAATAGACGAGAAGCACATCCCGGAGTAAAGGAGCGGGGACGACGCGAGTAATCTCGACGCTGGGAGACCGTATACCATCAGAAAGATCGGTGAGATCGATAACGCCGGCTTGGTCGGTCGGTGCAGGATCGATAGTCAAGTCACCGGCCTGATGTGTGTTCAATGACAGGACACTACAAGCTTACACGCACCCACCTGGGTAACATCGATATTAAACTCGCGCCCTCTGGCGGGCGAGGATAGCGTCACGCCGTGGGTAGCGGCCCAATCACGAACTTGACCCCGCTGGACCGACGTGAGAGGGGGAGAGATGTATTTGAACGTGGGGCGAGGGCGGCCCCGAGCGCGGGGGTGGTCGACGTGACACTACGATGTTGTTATGTAAGTAACCCAGTAAGATGTCGAACGCGTAGATACGTACCAGAACGTACCACTGGCCAAGATGAAAGTCGTCCTTTTTGAACTGAAGGTAAGGACCAAAGAGGTCGTGATCCCAACAGTCCTGGACGCAGCGATTATACTTCTCTTCCGAATAAGGTCGCGATAAACCGTCCACGAAGGAACGTAGAGCGGCCAAAACAGACGCTTTGGTGGGCATGGGGGAGAGACGATCGCAGCGCGCATCATGCCAGAGATCTCGCGAGCATGGTTAAGTATAGCGGCTGTCGATAGCGGGCGTGCGGGCCAAGGCAAGGAAAATGAACATCAAAAGTCTTGTGGACAGCCGAGAGGGGCGGAATATTCGAGAGCGCCGACCTTTTGCTTCCGCGCGGAGCGCGTTCGTACCGGAGATGATATCGGATGCGCACATAGAATAGCGGACATTGAGTACATTGATTCAACATATTACTATACGGCTGACAGAGACGGCAGACTGCTGTGGATGAAATGTGTGAGTAGACGCGAGAAGGAAGGACGTTCGCACTGACCAAGATGCGCACTAGATCTACTTAGAAGATGGCCCGACGTCGGCGTTGGGGTCCGACCTCGCGGCCTCGCGCTTCGCGGATCTGAGCGCCGCGGCTTTGCGATTGCGTTCTTCCTCGAGATCGTAGGCAAGATTAACAGCACGAAAGACGACGGGCGCAGTCGCCGGGTTGCCTACCCACTCGCCGTCTTCGTCCTGCTGCCACCTGACGCCGGGATCATCATCCATCCAACTGCAGGGAGATGTCAGGTCTTGTGCAAAGTGTGAAATAAAATGAAGTACGCACTCCCAGACGTACTCGGCCGAGTCGCGGAGGAAGTCGATTCTCTTGCCGCTGAGACCCTTCTTGGCGGCCAGGTAGTACATGGTGAGCGCAACAGCCTCACCGGCGACACCGAAAGGGTCATGCGTGTACTGCCTATACTGTGTCCAGTGGACGTCGGAGGGCGTGGCAGAGGAACGCAGGCCAGATTCTTCGCGAAGGCGGCGAACGACGTCGGGTCCAGTGAAGAGCTCCCTACAGGCGCTCGCCAGCTCTACGTCACCGACTAGGTAGTCAGCGTGTAGGCTGGTAATCGGGAAGTCCTTTTGGCGTTGGACTTCGAGTTCGTAGATGGTGGGGAGCTGGATAGTTCGGCTCTTACGAGACATGGCGGTGCGGTGGAAAGAGAACGGGACGCGATAAAGTTGGTCGTGGTTCGACAGGCGAAGTGCCTGGGTGCCGAGAGCAGGGCCGATGGAAAGAGGGCGACGGCGCGAGGTCTACTTCCGGGACCGCGCGCAGCCGAAAAGATCGCCCGGCTTGTATTCCTGCCACTACCATGGAGAACGAAAGCGCTCAAGACGACTTAGCACTCGCTCCTGGTGAATGGTGAGTGTCTGGCTTGTGGTACAACGAGTTGGCTTACCTAAATTCGCTATAGGGAGGCGATGACAAACTTCCTGAGTAAAGAGGGGATCCCGACTTTGGTGCGTAAGTTTGGAGTAGTCCCGCAGGGGAGTACGAGCGAGGGCCTTGACACGGAGGTGCGTATGTGTCTAGTGCCGTCGACATCGAGCTGACGAGCGCAGGATTGCTCGCGCTTCCCGGCCATGAAGAACGAGCGCGTTGGCGAGGACCCGTCGTCTGCAGCGCCCGCGTGCGAGGGATGCCGTTGGGCTGTCGAAGGTATGTCGCTGGTTAAGTCACATGGATACTAATATTTACTGAAGGCACTGTGGCACAGACCTTAAATGGCGGCACGAGGCGGCATGGGGGTCCATGAGCGGAGAGTGGCCGCTTGAAGCTCTGGTTAACGACAATGCCTTCAAGCTTAAGCGGCGTACCACGTCCGGGCAAATGACGTCGGCGGAAAGGGTGGCATGGGAGAAGAAAAGGGATGAGCTGGAGGCAGCGCGCCAGCTGGCGCTTGACGCTGCGCGCCCTAGCAAGCCTTGTCCCCCGTACGTAGGCATATTCTACTCGGGCGGATCTAGACACTCACGCATAATATTTAGCCATACGTGTTCCATGAGCGAGTACTTGGGGGAAGATGGTGACAGTGAGGACGGCGCGTACGAGAGCGAGAGCGATGTTCCGCCGCTGCTCGAGCCGTTGTCGGGCGAGTAAGTCGGCGCGGAAGCGGGCACAGGGTTCGCGGTGTATCAAATGATGTAGTTATGAATACAGATGGAGCGAATTATACAGTTCTGTGTGTCTAAACAACGGCTCGAGGTTCGGTGAAATAGAGAACGGCGCTGTAGGGCGGGACGGCACAGACTGCGGGTTCCACGTTTACGGCGAGGAACGGGAATTCGATGGGGATGAGGGGGGGCCGTGCGAGCGGGAATTCGTTAGGGTTAGGGGTTTGGCGAATTGAGAATAAAGAATAAAGCGAAAACAAGTTGCGAGGTTATCTTGCTGTGCAGTGCGCGTAGGTGGCTATATGTACATATCCATTTCACCAATAGACATGGTGAAGTAGTCTAGCGGCTAAGAGTGCGGAAGGGTTGGCCGAGGCTTGGGGTTCAATCCTGGCTCATGTCACTCTTTTATTCCTCGGGGTTTTTTTTTCTTTGGGTCTGGCCCGAGTGGGGGTTGCAACTCTGGATGGGGGGGTTAAACCCGCCTACCCCACTAGAGGCTTGGGGTTACAACCTGTGGGCTACGGGTAGTGAAAATTCCTAACGCACTACCTCTCTATGGTCTACCGGCACCAAGTGTAAGGAGTTCCGGCTCATCTTGTTTCAATGCAATGACGAGCGCTTCGTTTAGATTCAGTCATAAGCCTTTCAACGTATTCTATCGGGAGACGCGCCGCGACAGCGCCGCCTCCGCGCTGCTCATGCTCCTGCACTTCTTGGATCCTGCCGCGGCCGCACCCACTGGAGCACCGCTCGTTCGCTTTCTGGACGTAGCCGAGGCATCCGTACTGGCCGAGGACGGCCTTCGGGCTCAGACTGAGTGCGCCATATTGCTCGAGTCTAACAGCGCTTCGTACACGTCCATGGCCCCCGAGCAGGCGTTTGCCCTGCGTCCGGCCGCAGAAATATGGCCAGAGCTGGCCGATACCTGCGCGCACTGCTTCCAAAGGTTCTCTCCTTTACGCCGCTGCTCAGGGTGCAAACGTTCGAACTACTGCGGGCGGCTTTGCCAGCGAGAGTGAGTTTTCTCGACCTCTCACCACCGCGCTGGTCTGATCAGGAACCCAGAGATTGGCGCTACGGCAATCACCGGGTCGCGTGCTTGGTGTGGCGCCGTGCAAACCAGGAGCTGGACAGTCAGGACGTACGGGCCCTGCAGAACGAGCTGATGGTGGATGTGTTTCGGAGACTGTTTTAGCATCGTACCCTTGCACATGTCCGCGCTTTGTGCGCGCGTTTCCAGCGTCTCGAACCGCATACTTGTCGTAGTCGTATTAAAAAATACACGGCGCGAGCATTGCAGTACTCTACTCGGATTCCTCCGACAGCTTGTCAGACTCACTCGACGACTCTTCACTATCCGCATCTGCCTGTTCCGCTACCGACTGCCAGCCCTCCGGCAGATCCTCCTCCTCCATGCTCGGCGGCTCCCACCCGTTGCCTAAGTCCTCCTCTGCGCGTAAGCACAGCGTCGACAGAAACTCCACCCACGCCACCGCGGGACTGGATCGCACGTAGACGCAGCAGCCAGACTCGTCGAAGAAGTAGTCGTTCTCGGTACGAGGAGCCATCAAGACGCAAGTTGCGCCCTCGACCCCGTGAACAGCGTATGCGGCGAACGCGTTGCGCCACTCGAACCGATCCATAAGCTCTGAACGCGCCGGAAGATTCCCGAGAACCAGCGCTCGAGGTGCGGCAATGTATTCGATGCAATCGTCGTAGGAGCCTATGCCTGGCCGCTGTGCGTGTCTGTTCCGTCGGTCAGGTCAAGACGCGTAAGGCGCTGGCAGGGTGCTCACACGGCGTCGAATACTACCCGAGAAGCAATGGCAATCGCCTCCAAGCGCCCCTCCAAGGTATTGAAAAGAGCCGAAACGCGGTCCGGTCTAGCGATGGGCGCGCTGGCGGCGGTGCGCTGTGGACGGGCCAGCGCCGAGCAGTGAGACCGCAACGCATCCATTATTGACCGCACAACGGCCCACCTATCCTCCCAAGGCAGGATGACAGCGGATGGAGCTTCTCCAGCAGACATATGTCCCCAGGGAGGCACTGCATTGGCGGGCGGGTTCTGAGTGGCGGGCATGGGTGAGAAACCACGCTTTCGGCTGGTGAGTGTAGGCGAAAGCGGGGGATGGGCAGAACGATCGAGAGGGGAAGCGTCGACGAGACCCCGAAAGCGTCACGGTACAGATGTTCGCTACTTCTGCATCGCGCAGCCGATGTGTTGGAATGGAGCAGGGGCCCGATACGCGCATGTAATTCAACATGCAGCGCAGATGGGCCGCCCCAGAAGCAATATTCGTACGAAGCATCCGGACAACGATGTTTTTCATCAGATGCCGCGTCGCGCGCACATCAGCGCCCTTGTCGGTGGCCGGACGAGAGCGGGCCCGCATGCCAACGCTGCGTGAGTGCCCGAAAGTTTACGGCCGCAAACCGAGCAGTTGGTGTGTGCGTTCGCACCCGTCTGAGGTCGCCGCGTCCTCCGTTCGCAAGGGCATGACCTTCGCGTAGCTTCGTCAGTGCTCCTTCTGGCCGTCAGATATACCGGGGCATGAAATTGCTCACCCAGAAGCAGCCCCCCCCCCCC